TCAATTCATCCTCGCTTCGTGCCGAAAATTCGAACAGAGCACGATATTTTGTCGTTCCGCCAGCACTCGCGAGCGGCAATGCAGCTCCACTTGAGACGGACTCTAGATTTGAAAACAAATTTTCATTGCTAAGAGAACCAAGATAAAAAGGGTTCTGAGATGTCAGAAATCGCAACCATATGGGTCAAAAAATCTACTAACCTTGCTGCAGAACAGGTGCAGAATTTTGACTGGGCATTGCTTTCGTGGGAGAGGTTGTTGCAGCAGGTGCCTGACCAGAAAATACCTCTCCAAATGCTTGTGCTTGGACGCTGTTGGCTGCTGTTTCCGCTGCTTTCCGCCGGTTTTCCAGCTCGCGTTCTGCTTCCTCCTTTGCCTTTGCTTCAGCAGCAAGTTTAGCTGCGGCAGCAGCTTTCTCCGTCAATTTAGCGCGAGCCTACAATTGCTTGATGGCCACTATTCCCTAATAATATTAATATCTTAATATTGATACCTGTGTTTGTAACTCTGCTACTTTGCCTAGCACTTCCCGATATTCATCACGCGCTCTTAGCAGCTCTGCCCGTTCGGTGTTGTACTCGTCAGTCTTCTGAAGAACACTCTGATGAAAAGGTAACCACTGCTTTTGCACTGGGATAAAGCTTGCCATGTAGGCAGTCGCAACATAGATATAAGCAATATCAAATTGATATTCCAACTATCATACTGAAGTTCATAATTAATTTAGATAATAAAAATTACCTTCTCAGCCTCCGCAATCTGAGCGGCCGTTCTCGCGCGAGTTGCTTCTACCTGCGCAGCGGCTTCTGCCACCACAATCTTTGCTGCATCACGCCGTTTCCTCAATTCTTCAAGCTCGTTTTTCCTGGCTACCGTTTCCTTATTGGCGCTTTGTAGTTGTAACAACTGATGAGCCAATTCTTGAGCTTGCACGCTGAGCTAAAATCTCACATATATCTAATGAATTGCAGTAAGAAGCATTTCCGCCGTGAAACTGCCAAAG